GCTGACGTGCACCAGGTGGTGCCAGGCAGCCTCCAGCCATTGCTGGCAGGCTTGCAGCAGCAAGTCCAGAAAGTGCACCAGAAGGTGCAGGGCGAGCTCTGGCTCCATGTTGCCACCTGCGGTGGCGTCCCCGAAGGGAAGCACCGACACAGTTGGGCACAGAGACCAACGCTTTGCTGTCCCTCGGCGAGGTTGGCAAGCAAGCGGAAAAGCTGAGAACCGGCTGTCCAGGGAGGTCCCTTTAAGCACGAGCCTCAGATAGCCTCAGACAGCAGCCACAGAACGCAACTACTGACCTGATGCCCTGCCAGAACCGGTTTCAGCTGCCCTTAAACACGCCCCTGCGTCCAATCAGTGTGGACGTGCTAGTTCAAATTAGCAAAACGCTAATTCGAACTAGTTTTTAGGTCTAGCTGCGCTAGTTCGAATTAGCTTAGTTCGAATTAACTAATTCGAACTAAGTTAGTTTGAATTAGCGCTGTAGTGTAGACATACCCTTTGTGTGTGTTCTGTTGCATACCTAACGCTAGACTATAACAGCACAGTCAAAGGAATGGTACATGTGCTATCTCAGCAGCAGTGCAGAGAAGAGGTCATGGATTTCATGGATTTCAGAGTATGGTATACTTTGAAGCCCTTCTACAATATCTTGTGAGTGCATTTTTTCCAGTAATAGGCTCAAGAGTTCTACTTCACATCAGGAAAGTCCTCCAACACTGTCACTCTCAGACCATGTTCCTATGCTTCAGCACCCCTGATTCAAGTTGTTCCTTTAAAGGGGCCAATTTGTTAGCTTGCTGCATAAGTCACCTCTCTTGGAATCTTTGTTTAAAAAAAAAAAGTGCACACAACAGCACAGTTAAGTCTTTGTAAAACAGAGTATCATTTAATGATCAAAAGAAATACAGTAGTCAGAGATCATGGGTTAAAGTAACAAAGACGGCCAAAACAGTGAATTTTACTTCCCCTTTTAGCTTTCCCTTGCTTAGTTAAGGAGGTTATGCTTAACCCATGCAGCCTTGGTTTGGGAAGAGAGCCCAGATGCCTGCAGCGCCTGGTTCTGGCTCCTGGCCATCATCTCTCCTCTCAAGGCTGCTTTTTAATACAACCAAATGCCCTTTGTTTTAACTTTCCCTCCTCAAGGGTTACCCCTCTCTTTTATCCTAAGCCAAGTGTGTCTGTCTCGCTTGGAAAGAGACAGTATTTCTCA